TTGGAGGTGAGAAACTACCATACTACCTTATAATGTGGCTGAACCATTTTATAATCCTACTAGCAACGAGTCAGAGTTTGTGCTCCACATCCTCAACAGTACTTGGTATCGTTAATATTTTGGATTTTTGTCATTTAAGTCAATATGTAGGCCAGCACCGCGGCTCACTAGGCTAATGCTCCCCCTGGGGCACTGGCACACCAGGTTCTAGTCCCGGTTGGGGCGCCAGATTCTGTCCTGGTTGCTCCTCTTCCAGTCCAGCTCTCCACTGTGTCCCGGTAGTGCAGTAGAGAATGGCCCAAATTCTTGGGTCCTGCATCCCATGGGAGACCAGGGAAGCACCTGGTTCCTGGCTTCATATCAGCGCAATGCGCCGGCTGCAGCGGTGATTGGAGGGGGAACCAACGGCAAAAAGGAAGACCTTTTTCTCTGTCTCTCTCATTGTCCATTCTGCCTGTCAAAAAAAAAAAAAAAAAAATCAAAATGTAGTGATACCTCATTGTTGTTTTCTTTTTCTTTTCCTTTTTTTTTTGACAAGCAGAGTTAGATAGTGAGAGAGGGACAGAGAGAAAGGTCTTCCTTCCATTGGTTCACTCCCCTAATGGTCACTATGGCCAGCGCACTCTACCGATCCAAAACCAGGAGCCAGGTGCTTCCTCCTGGTCTCCCATGGGGTGCAGGGCCCAAGCACTTGGGCCATCCTCCACTGCCTTCCCGGGCCGCAGCAGAGAGCTGGACTGGAAGAGAAGCAACTGGGACAGAGTCCGACCAATTCCATGTTAATATGACATCAGTTGCTGGGGAAATCTGTCATCTACCTGGTGGCAGGTTGGTTACAATGGACTACTCTTGTCAAGTAGGACCAACATTCTGTGTTTCCCGGAACAGACGCCCATTCATCTGCCTATATTCATTGCTTCTGCCAACTATCCAGCTTGGACTTACAGGACGGCTGGCCTACCATTGTGGTCTTCCTCTCTCTCTCTCTGTAACACTGAATTTCAAGTAAATAAAAAGAGATACTGTTTAAAATAGAAAGGATTACTATAATGTAATGAGGAATTTTTCATTATGATAAATACATGTGTGTGTATAACACACAACTATATACTTGATTCCTAATTGCCTCATTGTATAACCTAAGATGTTTGATTCTATAGCTTTATTCAAATTATTGCTAATTTCACATTATAATATTTAATTGTGCCATAGTGGAAGAAGAGCCAATGCCATGCAAGGGCTTTTCTCTCTTCTGGGGAATGGTTCATGCATTTTGGTTTTATGCAGGGTAGTTGTACTGTGTTAAGTAGAAGTATGACTGTGTTATTGTCTTTATTGGAGATCAGCGTGTCTTAATCCAGAGGTGAATATGGGTGACAAATTGATAGGGGTAGACTTGTGCCAGTAAATGTTTAAGGGTCAACTTGCCTCAACCAAGGGATCCCCAGATACCAGGTAAAACATTGTTTCTGGAAGGCATAGCATTTGAATCGGTAGACTGAGTGAAGATTGCTCGCACCAGGTGGGTGATTTTGAAATGATGTGCAGTCCATGGGAGAAAGTGTTTATTACAAATGCCCACAATGAAGCGTTTATGACATCAGTGCTTTTGACAATGGCAGAATCTGAAAATATCATTCACCATGTGTCATAAAAGAAAATGACACTTTTAGTCAAACTAAATCAATCCTGAACGAGAAATATTAAGTGAAATAAAATTGAAAACGCTTTCTGTATTCCATCTTTTTTAAACAGGGGGTTATTTGGGACCTGTGCTGGGTGCAGCTGGTTAATGTCCTGGCCTGAAGCACCGGCATCCCATATGGGCGCTGGTTTGAGACCTGGCTCCTCCACTTCTGATCCAGCTCTCTGCTGTGGCCTGGGAAAGCAGTAGAAGATGGCCCGAGTCTTTGTGCCCCTGACCCACATATGAGAGCTGGAAGAAGCTCCTGGCTCCTGGCTTCGGATTGGTGCAGCTCCGGCCGTTGCGGCCAATTAGAGAGGGAACCAGTGGATAGAAGACCTCTCTCTCTGCATCTCCTCTGTCTGTGTAACTCTGACTTTCAAATAAATAAATAAGCCATTTAAAAAAGGGAATTATTGGCCAGCGCCGCTAATCACTAGGCTAATCCTCCTCCTGTGGTGCCAGTCCCCCGGATTCTCATCCCGGTTGGGGCACCCGATTCTGTCCCGGTTTCTCCTCTTCCAGTCCAGCTCTCTGCTGTGGCCCGGGAAGGCAGTGGAGGATGGCCTGCATAGGAGACTGGGAGGAAGCACCTGGCTCCTGGCTTCAGATCAGTGCAGTGCGCCAGCCTTGGCACCATTTGGGGGGTGAACCAACAGAAGGAAGACCTGTCTCTCTGTCTCTCTCTCTCTCACTGACTAATTCTGCCTGTCAGGAAAAAAAATTTAAAAATCCTGAAGGTTTTAGGAGTGGGTGGAAGAGGGGGAGCTTGGTGCATAGTCAGTTAAGCTGCTCCCTGGAATGCCGACATCCCCAGTGGGTACCTGTTCCAGAGCAGGATGCTCCCCGCTGATCCAGCTCCCTCCTGACATCCTGCGAGAAACAGAGAAAGATGGCCCACCTTCTAGGGATCCTGCATCCCAAGTGGGAGAGCTCGATGAAGCTCCTGGCTCCTGACTTTAGCCTGTCCTAGCCTGGGTCACTGAACCTTCTGGGAAATGAACTAGCTGATGAAATACCTTTCTCTCTCTCAAACTATTCTTGGATACCTACTGATGAATTAGGAAATAGATACAAATTAAAATTCAGTTATGTACTCTAGTTTCAAGTGTTTATTTTCTATTATGATTGAAATAAAGATAATGTCTCAATCGCAAAAGAGTGGGTTCTTGGAGACTGTTTCTTGGACAGCATGTTGAAAAAAATCTGAAGTATAAGGTCTCTGTAAGTTATACGTGAAATACGTCTACTCATGTCTTCATGCAGTGCACGTTTAAAGATTGAAAAACAGAAAAGCACAGCTCTCTACAGCAGCACTCAGATAGAGTTCATTCGTTTAAATAAACCCCAAGAGGTGCAGGTGTCTGGGGCAGGGGTTAAGACCCCACTTAGGATGCAGAAAAGCCCTGCAGGTACCTGGGTTCTAGTCCTGCCACCACAAGGCATTCGATTTCACATTCCTAGACCTCTGCACACTGAGAGCGACCAGGTGAGCACCCAAGGCCTTGGGTCCCTGACACCCAGCATGGGAGACCCAGAAGCAGTTCCAGATTCTGGAATGGTCACCTGGGCCTGCTGGCTTCTCGGGGAGGAAAGAGCACGTGCAAAGGCCCAGAGGTGGCCCAGGATCTGTGTCTACCAAGGCCGTCCAATGTGTGCAGAGGGAAAGGCGGGCAGGGGGCAGGTGAGCAAAGGTCCCCAGTGTGAGGGGAGGAGCCGAGTCCTGCCCTGAAGGGGACAGAGCCAGACACGGGTTTGAAGGACAGCAACACTGGGGTCCACACTTTGGGCTGCTGGGCATAAAGGAAATCCACACCCGGGAGCAGACGGGGCAACAGCATGCCAGCCCGTCCCTGCTGCTTCTTGTTCCTCAGCCCTGCCCTCACTTGAAGGACAATCTCACCTGAGTAGGGAGGAAATAGGACCCCCCACAGGCCGTGACCACTGTGGGTCACCGCCAATGCTCGTTCAGTCAGGAAACTCCGCAGCAAGGTCGGGAGAAGCAAGGCTACGAAGGACCCCGCTCAGCCCCATCTGTGACACCCAACAGGGCCTGCTTCTAGTGACTTGCCCTTGTGTTGTGGACTTGAGGCAGGTGCACACACACCAGCAGGACCTGTGTTCCCATTGCACCTCTGACAGCAGTAGGCAGGTCATGTAGGTGCGGGGTGCTCACACAGAGTGTCTGCGTGTCGGCCCTGAACAGGGCTCACTGTGCTACCCACCAGGATCTCCATGAACCATCTGTCAGTCCTGGGGGTGACCTTGAGATGTCTCTGAAGTCACTTTTCCCTGTCCCTTCCCAGAGGCCCTACTAGAATGGCCTGACCACCCACTCAAGCTGAAGCACTCACAGCCCCGATTCTGTCCGGGGAGGAGGCAGAACAGCAAAAGGGCTGTGATCCATCTTGGTGGAGCCTCCATGATACCTCCAGATTGGAAAGAAATGATCATTCCCTAGAACTAGCTCCCAACCCCAGGAAACATGGAGCTCAGAAAATTATCCTGGGTGTGGAGGGCTCCGTGTCCACAGCTCCCCCAGGTGGAGCCCGAGAGGCCCTCTGCTCTGCAGGCAGCCCCCAGTTCTACGTGCACCCTCCGCCTGTTTGCACAGGCAGGTTTGGAAGGCCAGGCTGGGGCCAGATGACCCAGTGTCCGGGACACTTACAGAGAAACTGCTGCTACATGGCCACCTCTGTCCAATGCTGAACCCAGGCCACAGCTGGAATTCCTGCACAGCTCCCACCGGTAGCTGTCTGAGTCCACACCTGGCCAATCCCACACACAGTGATGACAGAGTGCTTGGCCTTCGGGGTGGCTCTTGTTCTCCATGGGTAATGCAGGTGGACACTGGGTATGGACACTCTCAGCTCTGCTTCCATGCACATCACTAATGACTAGGACCTCCCTGCTGTGTCACAGATGCAGGGACCCTCCTTCCTGTGTAGCAGCAACTGTGCATGTTTGAGCCTCTCTCTCTCTCCCTTAACTCCCTCCCCCTCCACAGCCTCACCATGCTCCCCATCCCTCACCTCCACCCCCCTAAACCACCACGCCCCAGACCCTCCCACCTTCCGCACACCCCACCCCCAATCCCCTCCAACCTCTACCCCGCATCAACCTCCCCCCCACCCACAGCCAGCTTCTGGGAGCCATCGCTCTCTTCTCAGTTCCAGGAGGTCAGCCATTGTGGCAGCCCCAGAGCGACAGAGGGGACTGTACTTGTCCATGTGAGCTCCATCTGGTAGCCAACTCCATGCAACCAGGGCACGGTGCACACCAGGACCCAAACACCACACAGGACCAGTTCCATGCGTACAGTGAAGACTTTTATTGGGGAGAAGCACAGCAAAGTCTCAAGCAAATGCGAGCCCTGAGGCAGGTCAGCTTGTCACTGAGGCAGGCTACCTGGGGGCCACCTTTCGGCTGCGGGGGCCAGGGCCGCGGGCTGGGGCCGGCAGGCAGCAGGCACGCAGGAGGAATCCGAGGATGCTCCTGCCAATCCTCCTGCCCAGCCCCTGCCGGCCCTTGCTCGGGACAGAGGCCGATGCTGAGGGCCCAGCCTCCTCAGGCTCAGCTGCTGGGACCTCTGGCACCACCAGGTGCGGACTGCTCCCGGGACTGGGGCTGGAGGGGGCGACCACGGGGACGGGCTCGGGGGCTGGGCTGGCACCAGGGCTCCTCTCCTGCAGCTGTCCAGGGAGGGGAGAGGCAACCACGGGGCCAGCAGCAGCAGGATCCAGCTCAGGCTGGGGGAGCGACTCCGACTCCGACTCCGACTCCGACTCCAGCTGCGACGCAGACTCAGGCTCCGACTCGGACTCCAGCTCTGCCTCGCACTCCGACTCAGGCTCCCTTTGTCCCTGTGAGAGAGAGGAAGGCAGGTGAGAAGGACAGGTGCACCCTGGACCTCCCTCATGCCCCGAAACCCAGGGAGACCATGGACAGACCCGCGCTCTGCCACCGGGGCTCTACCTGCTCCAGGCTCCCGGAGTGCGGCTGCAGGGACATCCGGCTGGATCCCCCAGGGCCAGATGGCTCTGAGGCTGCAGCGTCCGGAAGCAGACCCAGGCCCGCCAGGTACTCCTGGGCCTCTGGGTCCTCGGGAACCGCCAGGGGCTGCACCACGCTCAGCTCCTCGCCCTCCGCTCCTTCTAGAAGAGGGTCAAACCACCATTGCTGGAGGGCGATTTCTGCTGTGGGTCTGTCGCACGGGTCCCTGCTGAGGAGGGAGCTCAGGAGCTTCTCCAGGCCCCGGCTGGCCCCACACGGGAGCTGGTAGCTCCCCCTCTGGATGCACTCCCGCAGCTCCACCAAGTCCTTCCCGCTGAAGGGCATGATCCCCGCCAGCATGGTGAAGAGGATGACCCCCAAACTCCACATGTCGGAGGCAAAGGCGTCGTAGGGCTCCTGTTGGAACACCTCCGGGGCGCTGTACTCCGGGGTCCCGCGGAAGCCCTGCACCAGCACGTCCACGGGCAGGTAGCTGCTGAGCCCGAAGTCCGCCAGCTTCACGTTGAGCTGCGAGTCCAGCAGCAGGTTCCCCAGCTTGAGGTCCCTGTGCGCCACCCGCAGCGCATGGCAGTGGCCCACGGCCGCCAGGACTTGGTCAAACATGAACACGGCCTCGGGCTCCGGCAGGCAGCCCTGTTCCATCATGTACTGGTAGAGGTTGCCCCCGTCCACCAGCTCCATCACCAGGCAGTGGTAATGGCCGACGCGCCCCACCTCCAGCAGCTCCACGATGTTCGGGTGCCTCAGGAGCTGCATGATGCTGGCCTCTTGCATCACTCGCCTGGTGCCAGAGGGCTCGCTGGAGTCTTCAAGGAATATCTTCACAGCCACCTGCCGCTGGCTGGACGCCTGCTGGGCCAGCACCACCAGGCCAAAGCTGCCCTGGCCCAGGACCAACAGCAACTGGAGACCAAGCTGACGGCTGGTGATGGCATCCAGACCCTTACGGCCTTCCAGGCTGGTGTCCCTGACTACACTCTCTGCGCTACTCTGTCTAATATGCCTGTCCATACACACTAACTAAGGAGCTACCCTAACTACAAGAACTAAGAAAAGAAAGGGACAACAAGGGGACTACCTGCTGAGCTGACTAGGGCACCACACTACCTATACTAACTACACTTAGCAAACACAGTGGCAAGACTAAGCCCTGTCTCACCAAAACAGAAAACAAAAACCAGAGAAACTCCAAAACAACAACCACTAAATAGCTACACTAACACTCTGAGATCTAGCCGCACTGTCTAGCTACAGAGGCGGGGAAGCCAAAAACGAACAAAACTGCAAAAAAAGACACAATGGGCCAAAAAAGAAATAGGAGGAAAACAACAAACTAAATCCAAATGGGGGAAAGAAAAAACCAAATAGAACAAGAAACAAACAAACAAACCAAACAGCACACCAACACCAACCAGCTCAAGCGCACGCAAAGATGGGTCCAAGTCACACAGGTCACCGAAATAGCTCCCTGGTAAAGCGGACAAAAACCTGGGCCGCGCAGCCGCTTATATAGGCGTGTGGAATCCTGTCCTCACAGGGCTCCTTATGAAGTCAGAGCGAGAAATGGGCCAATGGCAGTCCTTCAGGGACTTGCACGACTTTCTATTTCATGACAGTGGTCCTTATGAAGTCAGAGACGGGCGGGGACCAGTCACAGCCACAGCTAATCCTCGGAGGTTTTCTCAACAAACTTCCTCTTACACAAAATCAAAGACCCCAAGAGCTTTTGGCTTAGATTGGTGATACAGAGTAATGTTTAACTTTGAACATTAAAAGCGTAGTATGTACCTATGACCTTTTCAATTCTGGTTTAAGGAGTTAGCAACTGTGGGGTCTTTAAGACCTCCGATTGTCTACCATCTAGATACACGTCCCATTGCCTTGAACCTCAGAGCTATAGGTCTCAGAATGAGGTGACAGCCACTCTGGCATCATGAAATCCTTGACCAAGTGTTCTGTTGCCCATGACACCATCAGGCACATTCTTCCCTTCGACAGAGCTGAGAGGAAGGGATCCATCATCATCCTTTCCCCCTAAGACCATCACTAGATTCCTTGTTAGACAGCCTGGAGGACCAGCATGTAGCTGGGTTGCTATGGTCCAGGTCTGGAAGGCCAACCAAGTGTCAGCTGCAGCCTCCAAATTGTCCTTAGAATCGCAGGGAGAAATGGAGGCGTGCCCAGAGGTCTCAGGGTTCCTGGGCCACTCGAACAAAAAGCCTTGAACTGAGTCATTGAAAATGAGCAGAGATGTGGTCCTCAGTGTTTGCTCTGGGTGCTGGAAGATGAAGGTCAGGGCTCCAGCAGACTTGATGTTGAGAAAGAGCTCCCTCTCTGCTGCTGACGTGCCTTCTTCAGAGAGAGACGGTAAGATGGAAAGGCTGGTGGTTTGCTGTGGTTGATTGCAGCTAAGTACACGTGTGGAGAGTGGCGTTGTAGTCCTTAAAAAGTACCACACCTTAAACCAAAACTCCCCAGTAAATTTGAAGGAAAGATCATGGCTTCCTGGGGTGTCCTCAGATGGTGAAAGCACAGACCTCCCCCTGTCAAGCCCTTTAGACAGACAGGTAGCCTGCAGCTGACACTGGGGTCCAGCAGGTTCAACACTGCTACACCATATGGTCGTATGTTTGGGGCATCCTATTTGGTGCTGATTGGAGGCCTGGGTGCTCCACTTACAATCCAGCTCCTTACTATTGTGCCTAGGGAAGCAAGGGAAGGTGGTCCAAGTGTTTGGTCTCTGCCACCCATGTGTGAGACCTGGATGGAGCTCTACGCTCCTCCCATGGCTTGATCCAGAGGTAGTAATTGTTGCTATTTGGGGAGTGAACCAGAAATTTGAGGATACCTCTCTTTCTCATTTTCATTCTCATTCTCTTTATCTCTCTCTCTCTCTCCATCTCTATGTCTCTCATTCTGTCTGTCTCCCCACTTCTCTCTGTAACTCTCTGAAATAAACAGCTAATTCTCCTTTTTTTTTTTTTTAGAGAGAGAAAAATAAACTTACTCACCCTGTGAAAGAGAGTTGAGCTCTAGTCCTAGCTTCCCACCTCTTTCTACTTCAGCATTGACTTTGAAGTTTGAACTTGAAGTCTCGAGGGACATGGACTGTTCTCACCACTAAGCCTGCTCTGCGTGAAAGGCATCTTTGAGGCTGAACTACAGGACCCTGGGCAGGACGGCAAAATACTCTTTAATTTCTTTCATCTAAGATTCCTAGTTTTCATTGTAGAGATCTTTTGCTTCTTCAGTCACATGTATTGCCAACTATGCTCTTTTCCCTAGTGTAGCTATGGAGCATGGGATTGCTTTCTACTGGGCATTGTATGTTGACGTTGCACCCTGACACTTTGTGGAGTGTATTTGCTCTCTCGGGTTTTTGGTGGAGTCTTTGCTGGTTTTCTACATGTAAGATAGTATCATTGGCCAAAAGTGACAATTGGGCCTCCCTCTTTAATTTAGATGCCCTTGAATTTTTCTCTTGCCTAATATCTCTAGCTAGGATTCCAGCACAATGTGGAATTCAACTGAATGATGATAAAAAAAGCATCTTTGTACATTTAGTATCTTTTAGCATTGATCTTGGTTTTACACTGTCTAGAAATATGCTTTCCTGTTGAGCTGTATTTGTTCATTTTCAACCTAAATTTTCTAATATAGATATCAAATTCTTAAATTTTGATGAATAATTACACATGTTAAACATGCAGAATAAACATGATTTATAGGTATATGATCTCTGAGATCAGCCAGTAATACTTCTCTTTAAGAAATTCAGGAAGCAGGGCCTGAGCACTGGCATAGTAGGTAAAGCCATCGCTCCTAGCATCCTATATGGATGCTGCATCGTGACATAGTTGCTCCACTTCTGACCCAGCTCCCTGATTACAGCCTAGGCAGAGCAGTAGATGATGGCCCAACTGTTTTCACCCTGCCACCCACCTGTGAACCTGAATAAAACTCCTGGTTCCCAGATCGGCGTGGCCCCGCCCTGGCTCTTGTGGACATCAAATGAGTGAACCAGTGGATGGAAGGTTTCTCTGTCTGTCTGTCTCTCTCTGTAACTCTGACTTTCAAGTAAAGAATTTCCCCCCTGACCCCTCTTGTTTTTCCTGACAGGCAGAGTTAGTCAGTGAGGGAGAGAGACAGAGAGAAAAGTCTTCCTTCTGTTGGTTCACCCCCCAAATGTCCGCCAAGGCTGGCGTGCTGCACTGATCTGAAGCCAGGAGCCAGGTGCTTCCTCCTAGTCTCCCACGCAGCCCATCCTCCACTGCCTTCCTGGGCCACAGCAGAGAGCTGGACTGGAAGAGGATCAACCGGGACAGAATCCAGAGCCCCAACCGGGATGAGAATCTGGGGTACCGGCGCCACAGGAGGAGGACTAGCCTAGTGAGCTGCGGTGCCAGGCAATGATTCCCTTTTTATAATTGTTTATTTATTTCAAAGTCAAGTTACACAGAGGAGAAGCAGAGAGAGAGAGGTCTTGCATCCACTGGTTCCCTCTCCAATTGGCCGCAACGGCCGGAGCAGCACCAATCCGAAGCCAGGAGCCAGGAACTTCTTCCAGCTCTCATATGTGGGTGCAGGGGCACAAAGACTCGGGCCATCTTCTACTGCTTTCCCAGGCCACAGCAGAGAGCTGGATCAGAAATGGAGGAGCCAGGTCTCAAACCAGCGCCCATATGGGATGCCGGTGCTTCAGGCCAGGACATTAACCAGCTGCACCCAGCACGGGCCCCAAATAACTCCCTGTTTAAAAAAAGACAGGAATACAGAAAGTGTTTTCAATTTTATTTCACTTAATATTTCTCGTTCAGGATTGATTTAGTTTGACTAAAAGTGTCATTTTCTTTTATGACACATGGTGAATGATATTTTCAGATTCTGTCATTGTCAAAAGCACTGATGTCATAAACGCTTCATTGTGGGCATTTGTAATAAACACTTTCTCCCATGGACTGCAGATCATTTCAAAATCACCCACCTGGTGCGAGCAATCTTCACTCAGTCTACTGATTCAAATGCTATCCCTTCCAGAAACAATGTTTTACCTGGTATCTGGGGATCCCTTGGTTGAGGCAAGTTGACCCTTAAACATTTACTGGCACAAGTCTACCCCTATCAATTTGTCACCCATATTCACCTCTGGATTAAAACACGCTGATCTCCAATAAAGACAATAACACAGTCATAATTCTAGTTAAACAGTACAACTACCCTGCATAAAACCAAAATGCATGAGCCATTCCCCAGAAGACAGAAAAGCCCTTGCATGGCATTGGCTCTTCTTCCACTATGGCACAATTAAATATTATAATATGAAATGAGCAATAATTTGAATATAGCCGTAGAATCAAACATCTTAGGTTATACAATGAGGCAATAAAGAATCAAGTATATAGTTGTGTGTTATGCACACACATGTATTTATCATAATGAAAAATTCTTCATTACATTATAGTAATCCTTTCTATTTTAAACAGTATCTCTTTTTATTTGCTTGAAATTCAGTGTTACAGAGAGAGAGAGGAAGACCACAATGGTAGGCCAGCAATCCTGTAAGTCCAAGCTGGATAGTTGGCAGAAGCAATGAATGTAGGCAGAGTATGCATGGGCGTCTGTTCCGGGAAACACAGAATGTTGGTCCTACTTGACAAGAGTAGTCCATTGTAACCAACCTGCCACCAGGTAGATGAGGGATTTCCCCAGCAACTGATGTCATATTGACCTGGAATTGGTCGGACTCTGTCCCAGTTGCTCCTCATCCAGTCCAGCTCACTGCTGTGGCCCGGGAAGGCAGTGGAGGATGGCCCAAGTGCTTGGGCCCTGCACTCCATGGAAGACCAGGAGGAAGCACTGGCTCCTGGTTTTGGATCTCTCTCTCACTGTCCACTCTGCCTGTCAAAAAGAAAAAAAAAAAAAAAGAAAAAAAAAGGGCGGTCAGGGGGGAAATTCTTTACTTGAAACTCAGAGTTACAGAGAGAGACAGACAGAGAAACCTTCCATCCACTGGTCCCACTCATTTGATGGCCACAAGAGCCAGGGCGGGGCCACACCGATCTGGGAACCAGGAGTTTTATCCAGGTTCACAGGTGGGTGGCAGGGTGAAAACAGTTGGGCCCTCATCTACTGCTCTGCCTAGGCTGTAATCAGGGAGCTGGGTCAGAAGTGGAGCAACTACGACGCGATGCAGCATCCATATAGGATGCTAGGGGCGATGGCTTTACCTACTATGCCAGTGCACAGGCCCTGCTTCCTGAATTTCTTAAAGAGAAGTATTACTGGCTGATCTCAGAGATCATATACCAACAAATCATGTTTATTCTGCATGTTTAATAGGTGTAAAATTATTCATCAAATTTAAGAATTTGATTTCTATATTAGAAAATTTAGGTTGAAAATGAACAAATACAGCTCAACAGGAAAGCATATTTCTAGACAGTGTAAAACCAAGATCAATGCTGAAAGATACTAAATGTATGCAGATGCTTTTTTTTTTTTTCATTATTGAAGTTGAATTCCACATTGTGCTGGAATCCTAGCTAGAGATATTAGGCAAGAGAAAAAATCAAGGGCATCTAAATTAAAGAGGGAGGCCCAATTGTCACTTTTGGCCAATGATACTATCTTACATGTAGAAAACCAGCAAAGACTCCACCAAAGTCTCTGGACTTGATATAAATAAACTGTCCTGTTGGTCAAAGTCCCTGACGATTGCTTCCTTGGTTGAACGCTGTACAGGAAACACTGTAGCTGTGGCAGGTGGCTCTGGTTTGATACTTGCTGTTGCTATACAGTTTTATAATGTTGTCTGTGATTGCTGGTTTGACCTGTGAAATCTTTAAAATTAGAATTCCTAGCTTACACGCATAAGACGATTTTCTACTTGTCCTACTGATGTTTAGCTTTTCTTGAGATGAGAGAAGATTCTCCATATGATTTCAATATTTTGAAACTAAAGTTCTCTCTCGATCCATTATAGGGGCAATTTCTACGAATGTTCCATGTGCTTAAAGCATAAAGTATATTCTGAAGTGATTGGGTGCAATTTTCTATGTGGCCTTTAGGTGGAATGAATAATGTACACACAAGCATATACACCAAAATATATTGATTTTAAAAAACATTATATTTATTTATTTGAAAGAGTTGCAGAGAGAGGGAGAGACAGAGAGAGATCTTCCATCTGCTGGTTCACTCCTCCAATGGCTCCAATGGCCAGGGCTGGGCTAGGCTGAAGCCAGGAGCCAGGAGCTCCATCTGGGTCTCCCACGTAGGTGCAGGGATCCAAGTACTCTGGCCATTTTCTGCTGCTTTCCCACAGGCATTCGTAGGGAGCTGCTTCAGAAGTGGAGCATCCAGGACTGGAAAGGCCACCCATAGGGATGCTGGCATCACAGGCAGCAGCTCAACCCACTGCCTCCATGCTGGCCCTGTTAATAGGTTTATAGTTTTTGCTTGTTCTATCAATTACCAAGAGGAATGTGGTAAGTTAAAATCTACCACCATGACTGTCTATTTCTTTTTTTACATTCTAGACATTGTTTTGTGTCATATATTTTGAGCCCTTGGTATTAAGTGCATGTAAAATTTGAATTTTTGAATCTTTCTGATGAATGGACCTTTTATCATAAATGGTCCTCTTTATGTCATGTAATACTTTTGGCCTCAAAGTCTATTCTTTCAGATATTAATTTAGTTCAGGCAGATTCCTTTTCGTTAGTGTTTGCAAGGAATATCATGGCCCCTCTTCCTATGTATGATCTACCTAATTCTTTTGCTTGAAGGTGTTTCTTTAAAAGGAATACAATTGTATTTTTAAATCCACTTTGTCAGTCTTTATCCCTCAACTGGGAAGGTTCATCTGTTTATACGTGATGATAACTGGTGAGGCATTTAAGCTCCACACACCATCTAGTTTGCATTTTCTGGTCACCTGACCTCCTAAGTGTCTTTTTCTCCCTTCTTTTGATCTCCTTAACATTCTCCCCCTCTTTTTCTCTTTTGGCATTTTATTGTGGGTTTTTTCTTCATGCATTGTTGCCATTGATTTCTCAACAGTGTTGCAGTGGATTTGTTTCTGAGAGGAACAGCGTGGTGGGTGCAAGAGGTGCGGAGTCAGCACACAGACCCCTGTAGTCAGGTGAAAGCAGGCTTGAGGTGAGCAGCCTGCAGACTCGTTTACTTCAGTTGAAACTCTGTATTATATAGCCAAGACCAGCCAATCTGATCAAGGGGCTGTCAATGCCCTATCCAATCACAGCCTGCCAGGCAGTTTCCAAAGCCATCCAATCACAGCCTGCCAGCCAGTCTCCAAAGCCATCCAATCACAGCCTGTTGCCAGGCAGTTTCCAAAGCCATTCCTGAATAACTAATGCTCGCTTGCCAGTGGCCACCTTGGCATGGCCCTCTCATTCCACCACTGTGCATGTCTACTAACAGTCGATTTTGCTTTAGTTATGTCTAATCTGCTGTGGAAACTATGAACATAATTTCTAAAAAATATTCATTTATTTATTTATTTGAAAGAGTTACAGAGAGAATGAGATAGTGAGAGAGAGAGAGAGAGAGAGAGAGAGAGAGAGATCTTGCATCTGCTGGTTCCCTCCCCAGTTGGCTACAAGGCCAGGGCTGAGCCAGGCAGAAGCCAGGGAGCTTCATCCAGGTTTCTCCACAGGTACAGGGGTCCAAGTGCTTGGGCCATCTTTTGCTGCGTTCTCAGGCCATTATCAGAGAGCTGGATTGGAAGTGGGGCAGCCAGGACATGAACCAGTTCCCATATGGCATGCCACCATGGCAGGAGGCAGCTTTACCCATATGCCACAATGTCGGCACCCTGAATTTTCAATTTTGGCTTCTATGTTAAATTTTTCAGTCTTAGAATTTCTGTTTTTGGTGCCGGCGCTGTGGTGCAGCAGGTTAATCCTCTGCTGCGGTGCTGGTATCCCATATGGGTGCTGGTTCAAGTCCCGGCGCTCCTCTTCAGATCCAGCTCTCTCCTATGGCCTGGGAAAGCAGTAGAAGATGGCCCAAGTCCTTGGGCCCCTGAACTTGTGTGGAAAACCCCAGGGCAGGGGGCTCCTGGCTTTGGGTTGGCTCAGTGCTGGCCATTCCAGCCGTTTGGGGGAATGAACCAGCAGAGAGAAAACCTTTCTGTTCGTCTCTCCCTCTCACTGTCTGTAACTCTCTCTCTCAAATAAATAAATAAAATCTTTTAAAAAATTTCTCTGTTTCTTTTTCCAAATTGGCCACACCACTTGTTGTAGTTATTTCCCTACTGACACTGTCGGACGTGGCATTGTTTTGTTTCCCTGTAGCAGCGTCACTGTTTTACAGTCCACTTTATAGTCCAATATTGTAAATCTCTCGAAAGTCTCCGTGAGTCTGTTTCCATTGTCTGTTATTTACTGCAGATTTTGCCCATTTCCCTCTATGAATGGTTGTCTTTGACTACGTGATGGGCTGTCTATTTAAATATTTTTGCCGGACTAATTTGTTATATTTATTTAGTTATTTATTTGAAAGGCAGAGAGACAGAGACAGATAGAGAGATCTTCCATCCACTGGTTCACTCCCCAAACGTCTGCCACAGCTTAGGCTGGGCCAGGTGGAAACCATGAGCCAGGAGCTTCATCCGGGTCTCCCACATGGGTAGCAGGGGCCCAGGCCCTTGGAGGATCCTCCAGTGCTTCTCCCAGGCACATTAGCAGGGAGCTAGATCAGCAGTGGAACAGCAAGGACTTGAACCGGCGCCCAATGGGATGCTCGTGTCGCAGGCGGCGGCTGCACGGGCTGTGGCACAGTGCCGTCCCTCCTATCTTCCATAGGAAGCAGCTAAGCAATGGTGAAGACTGCTGTTACTGGAAGATGAACAGGCTCCTCCTCAGAGAGGGGTTCTCACATGCATCCCAGAAGTCCCCTGGTGATTTTGGAGGTGAGAAACTACCATACTACCTTATAATGTGGCTGAACCATTTTATAATCCTACTAGCAACGAGTCAGAGTTTGTGCTCCAATCCTCAACAGTACTTGGTATCATTATTATTTTGGATATTTGTCATTTAAGTAAATATGTAGGCCAGCACCGCGGCTCCCTAGGCTAATCCTCCGCCTGGGGCACTGGCACACCGGGTTCTAGTCCCGGTTGGGGCGCCAGATTCTGTCCCGGTTGCTCCTTTTCCAGTCCAGCTCTGCACTGTGTCCTGGGAGTGCAGTGGAGGATGGCGTAAGTGCTTGGGCCCTGCATCCCATGGGAGACCAGGAGAAGTACCTGGTTCCTGGCTTCGTATCAGTGCGATGCGCTGGCCGTAGCGGCCATTGGAGGGTGAACCAATGGCAAAAAGGAAGACCTTCCTCTCTGTCTCTATAATTGTTCACTCTGCCTGTCAAAAAAAAAAAAAAAATCAAAATGTAGTGATACCTCATTGTTGCTTTCTTTTTCTTTTTCTTTTCCTTTTTTTTTTTTTTTTTTTGATAAGCAGAGTTAGATAGTGAGAGAAGGACAGAGAGAAAGGTCTTCCTTCCATTGGTTCACTCCCCTAATGGCTACTATGGCCAGCGCGCTGCACTGATCCAAAACCAAGATCCAGGTGCTTCCTCCTGGTCTCCCATGGATACTGCATCGCGTCATAGTTGCTCCACTTCTGACCCAGCTCCCTGATTACTCCCTAGGCAGAGCAGTAGATGATGGCCCAACTGTTTTCATCCTGCCACCCACCTGTGAACCTGGATAAAACTCCTGGTTCCCAGATCGGCGTGGCCCAGACCTGGCTCTTGTGGCCATCAAATGAGTGAACCAGTGGATGGACGGTTTCTCTGTCTGTCTGTCTCTCTCTGTAACTCTGACTTTCAAGTAAAGAATTTCCCCCCTGACCGCCCTTTTTTTTTCTTTTTTTTTTTCTTTTTGACAGGCAGAGTGGACAGTGAGAGAGAGATCCAAAACCAGGAGCCAATGCTTCCTCCTGGTCTTCCATGGAGTGCAGGGCCCAAGCACTTGGGCCATCCTCCACTGCCTTCCCGGGCCACAGCAGTGAGCTGGACTGGATGAGGAGCAACTGGGACAGAGTCCGACCAATTCCATGTCAATATGACATCAGTTGCTGGGGAAATCCCTCATCTACCTGGTGGCAGGTTGGTTACAATGGACTACTCTTGTCAAGTAGGACCAACATTCTGTGTTTCCCGGAACAGACGCCCATGCATACTCTGCCTACATTCAGTGCTTCTGCCAACTATCCAGCTTGGACTTACAGGACGGCTGGTCTACCATTGTGGTCTTCCTCTCTCTCTCTGTAACACTGAATTTCAAGTAAATAAAAAGAGATACTTTTTAAAATAGAAAGGATTACTATAATGTAATGAAGAATTTTTCATTATGATAAATACATGTGTGCGTATAACATACAACTATATAGTTGATTCTTTATTGCCTCATTGTATAACATAAGATGTTTGATTCTACGGCTATATTCAAATTATTGCTCATTTCATATTATAATATTTAATTGTGCCATAGTGGAAGAAGAGCCAATGCCATGCAAGGGCTTTTCTCTCTTCTGGGGAATGGCTCATGCATTTTGGTTTTATGCAGGGTAGTTGTATTGTGTTAAGTAGAAGTTTGACTGTGTTACTGTGTTTATTGGAGATCAGCGTGTTTTAATCCAGAGGTGAATACGGGTGACAAATTGATAGGGGTAGACTTGTGCCAGTAAATGTTTAAGGGTCAACTTGCCTCAACCAAGGGATCCCCAGATACCAGGTAAAACATTGTTTCTGGAAGGCATAGCATTTGAATCGGTAGACTGAGTGAAGATTGCTCGCACCAGGTGGGTGATTTTGAAATGATCTGCAGTCCATAGGAGAAAGTGTTTATTACAAATGCCCACAATGAAGCGTTTATGACATCACTGCTTTTGACAATGACAGAATCTGAAAATATCATTCACCATGTGTCATAAAAGAAAATGACAATTTTAGTCAAACTAAATCAATCCTGAACGAGAAATATTAAGTGAAATGAAATTGAAAATACTTTCTGTATTCCTGTCTTTTTTAAACAGGGAGTTATTTGGGGCCCGTGCTGGGTGCAGCTGGTTAATGTCCTGGCCTGAAGCACCGGCATCCCATATGGGCGCTGGTTTGAGACCTGGCTCCTCCACTTCTGATCCAGCTCTCTGCTGTGGCCTGGGAAAGCAGTAGAAGATGGCCCGAGTCTTTGACCCCTGACCCGCATAGGAGACCTGGAAGAAGCTCCTGGCTCCTGGCTTCGGATTGGTGCAGCTCTGGCCATTGCAGCCAATTGGCGAGCCGACCAGTTGATGGAAGACCTCTCTCTCTCTCTGCATCTCCTCTGTCTGTGTAACTCTGACTTTCAAATAAAGAAATAAACCATTTAAAAAAGGGAATTATTGGCCAGCGCCGCTAATCACTAGGCTAATCCTCCTCCTGTGGCGCCGGTACCCCAGAATCTCATCCCGGTTGGAGTGCCCGATTCTGTCCCGGTTTCTCCTCTTCCAGTCCAGCTCTCTGCTGTGGCCTGGGAGGGCAGTGGAGGATGGCCTGCATGAGAGACTGGGAGGAAGCACCTGGCTCCTGGCTTCAGATCGGTGCAGCACGCCAACCTTGGCGGTAATTTGGGGGGTGAACCAACAAAAGGAAGACCTGTCTCTCTGTCTCTCTCTCTCTCACTGACTAACTCTGACTGTCAGGAGAAAAAAAGGGGGGCCGGCGCCATGGCTCACCAGGCTAATCCCCGACTTGCAGTGCCGGCACACCGGGTTCTAGCCCTGGTCCAGGCACCGGATTCTGTCCCGGTTGCCCCTCTTCCAGGCTAGCTCTCTGCTGTGGCCAGGGAGTGCAGTGAAGGATGGCCCAAGTGCTTGGGCCCTGCACCAAATGGGAGACCAGGATAAGTACCTGGCTCCTGCCATCGGATCAGCGCGGTGCGCCGGCCGCAGTGGGCCGGCCGCGGCGGCCATTGGAGGGTGAACCAACGGCAAAGGAAGACCATTCTCTCTGTCTCTCTCTCACTCTCCACTGTGCCTGTCAAAATAAAAAAAAAAAAAAGGGGGCGGTCAGGGGGGAAATTCTTTACTTGAAACTCAGAGTTACAGAGAGAGACAGACAGACAGACAGAGAAACCTTCCATCCACTGGTTCACTCATTTGATGGCCACAAGAGCCAGGTCTGGGCCACGCCGATCTGGGAACCAGGAGTTATATCCAGGTTCAAAGGTGGGTGGCAGGGTGAAAACAGTTGGGCCATCATCTACTGCTCTGCCTAGGCAGTTATCAGGGAGCTGGGTCAGAAGTGGAGCAACTATGACACGATGCAGCATCCATATAGGATGCTAGGAGCGATGGCTTTACCTACTATGCCAGTGCTCAGGCCCTGCTTCCTGAATTTCTTAAAGAGAAGTATTACTGGCTGATCTCAGAGATCATATACCTATAAATCATGTTTATTCTGCATGTTTAACATGTGTGATTATTCATCAAAATCTAAGAATTTGATTTCTATATTAGAAAATTCAGGTTGAAAATGAACAAATACAGCTCAACAGGAAAGCATATTACTAGACTGTGCAAAACCAAGATCAATGCTAAAAGATACTAAATGTACAAAGATGCTTTTTTTATCATCATTCAAGTTGAATTCCACATTGTACTGGAATCCTAGCTAGAGATATTAGGCAAGAGAAAAAATCAAGGGCATCTAAATTAAAGAGGGAGGCCCAATTGTCACTTTTGGCCAATGATACTATCTTACATGTAGAAAACCAGCAAAGACTCCACCAAAAACCTGAGAGAGCAAATACACTCCACAAAGTGTCAGGGTGCAACGTCAACATACAATGCCCAGTAGAAAGCAATCCCATGTTCCATAGCTACACTAGGGAAAAGAGCATAGTTGGCAATACATGTGACTGAAGAAGCAAAAGATCTCTACAATGAAAACTAGGAATCTTAGATGAAAGAAATTAAAGAGTATTTTGCCGTCCTGCCCAGGGTCCTGTAGTTCAGCCTCAAAGATGCCTTTCACGCAGAGCAGGCTTAGTGGTGAGAACAGTCCATGTCCCTCCAGACTTCAAGTTCAAACTTCAAAGTCAATGCTGAAGTAGAAAGAGGTGGGAACCTAGGACTAGAGTTCAACTCTCTTTCACAGGGTAAGTTTCTTTTTCTCTAAAAAAAAAAAAAGGAAAATTAGCTGTTTATTTCAGAGAGTTACAGAGAGAAGGGGGGGAGACAGACAGAATGAGAGAGAGTGAGTGAGAGAGAGAGAGTAAAAGAAAGAGAAAGAGAAAGAGAATGAGAAAGATATCTTCAAACCGCTGTTTCACTCCCCAAATTGCAACAATTGACACCTCTGGATCAGGCCATGGGAGGAGCCTAGAACTCCATCCAGGTCTCACACATGGGTGGTAGAGACCCAAATACTTGGACCACCTTCCCCTGCTTCCCCAGGCACAATAGAAGGAGCTGGATTGTAAGTGGAGCACCCAGGCCTCCAATCAGCACCAAATAGGATGCCCCAAACATACAACCATATGAGTAGCAGGGTTTAATCTGCTGGACCCCAGTGTCAGCCGCAGGCTACCTGTCTAAAGGGCTTGCCGGGGGGAGGTCTGTGCTTTCACCATCTGAGGACACCCCAGGAAGCCATGATATTTCCTAAAATTTACTGGGGAGTTTTGGATTTAGGTGTGGTACTTTTTAAGGACTACCACGCCACTCTCCACACGTGTACTTAGCTGCAATCAACCACAGCAAACCACCAGCCTTTCCATCTTACCGTCTCTCTCTGAAGAAGGCACGTCAGCAGCAGAGAGGGAGCTCTTTCTCAACATCAAGTCTGCTGGAGCCCTGACCTTCATCTTCCAGCACCCAGAGCAAACACTGAGGACCACATCTCTGCTCATTTTCAATGACTCAGTTCAAGGCTTTTTGTTCGAGTGGCCCAGGAACCCTGAGACCTCTGGACATGCCTCCATTTCTCCCTGCGATTCTAAGGACAATTTGGAGGCTGCAGCTGACACTTGGTTGGCCTTCCAGACCTGGACCATAGCAACCCAGCTACATGCTGGTCCTCCAGGCTGTCTAACAAGGAATCTAGCGATGGTCTTAGGGGGAAAGGATGATGATGGATCCCTTCCTCTCAGCTCTGTCGAAGGGAAGAATGTGCCTGATGGTGTCATGGGCAACAGAACACTTGGTCAAGGATTTCATGATGCCAGAGTGGCTGTCACCTCATTCTGAGACCTATAGCTCTGAGGTTCAAGGCAATGGGACGTGTATCTAGATGGTAGACAATCGGAGGTCTTAAAGACCCCACAGTTGCTAACTCCTTAAACCAGAGATGAAAAGGCCATAGGTACATCCTACGTTTAATGTTCAAAGTTAAACATTATTCTGTATCACCAATCTAAGCCAAAAGCTCTTGGGGTCTTTGATTTTGTGTAAGAGGAAGTTTGTTGAGAAAACCTCCGAGGATTAGCTGTGGCTGTGACTGGTCCCCGCCCGTCTCTGACTTCATAAGGACCAACTGTCATGAAATAGAAAGTCGTGCAAGTCCCTGAAGGACTGCCATTGGCCCATTTCTCGCTCTGACTTCTTTAAAAAAAATACAATTGTATTTTTAAATCCACATTGTCAGTCTTTATCCCTCAACTGGGAAGGTTCATCTGTTTATACGTGATGATAACTGGTGAGGCATTTAAGCTCCACATGCCATCTCAGTTTGCATTTTCTGGTCACCTGGCCTCCTAAGTGTCTTTTTCTCCCTTCTTTTGATCTCCTTAACATTCTCCCCCTCTTTTTCTCTTTTGGCATTTTATTGTGGGTTTTTTCTTCATGCATTGTTGCCGCTAATTCTCAACAGTGTTGCAGTGGATTTGTTTCTGAGAGGAACAGCGTGGTGGGGGCAAGAGGTGCGGAGTCAGCACACAGACCCCTGTAGTCAGGTGAAAGCAGGCTTGAGGTGAGCAGCCGGCAGACTCGTTTACTTCAGTTGAAACTATGTCTTATATAGCCAAGACCAGCCAATATGATCAAAGGGCTGTCTATGCCCCATACAATCACAGCCTGCCAGGCAGTTTCCAAAGCCATCCAATCACAGCCTGTTGCCAGGCAGTTTCCAAAGCTATTCCTGAATAACTAATGCTTGCTTGCCAGTGGCCACCTTGGCATGGCCCTCTCATTCCACCACTGTGCATGTCTACAAACAGTCGATTTTGCTTTAGTTATGTCTAATCTGCTGTGGAAACTATGAACATAATTTCTAAAAAATATTCATTTATTTATTTATTTGAAAGAGTTACAGAGAGAATGAGAGAGAGAGAGAGAGAGAGAGAGAGAGAGAGAGAGAGAGATCTTGCATCTGCTGGTTCCCTCCCCAGTTGGCTACAAGGCCAGGGCTGAGCCAGGCAGAAGCCAGGGAGCTTCATCCAGGTTTCTCCACAGGTACAGGGGTCCAAGTGCTTGGGCCATCTTTTGCTGCGTTCTCAGGCCATTATCAGAGAGCTGGATTGGAAGTGGAGCAGCCAGGACATGAACCAGTTCCCATATGGCATGCCACCATGGCAGGAGGCAGCTTTACCCATATGCCACAATGTCGGCACCCTGAAATTTCAATTTTGGCTTCTATGTTAAATTTTTCAGTTTTAGAATTTCTGTTTTTGGTGCCGGCGCTGTGGTGCAGTAGGTTAATCCTCTGCCTGCGGTGCTGGCATCCCATATGGGTGCTGGTTCAAGTCCCGGCGCTCCTCTTCTGATCCGGCTCTCTCCTATGGCCTGGGAAAGCAGTAGAAGATGGCCCAAGTCCTTGGGCCCCTGAACTTGTGTGGAAAACCCCAGGGCAGGGGGCTCCTGGCTTTGGGTTGGCTCAGTGCTGGCCATTCCAGCCGTTTGGGGGAATGAACCAGCAGAGAGAAAACCTTTCTGTTCGTCTCTCCCTCTCACTGTCTGTAACTCTCTCTCTCAAATAAATAAATAAAATCTTTAAAAAAATTTCTCTGTTTCTTTTTCCAAATTGGCCACACCACTTGTTGTAGTTATTTCCCTACTGACACTGTCGGACGTGGCATTTTTTTGTTTCCCTGTAGCAGCGTCACTGTTTTACAGTCCACTTTATAGTCCAATAATGTAAATCTCTCGAAAGTCTCCGTGAGTCTGTTTCCATTGTCTGTTATTTACTGCAGATTTTGCTCATTTCCCTCTATGAATGGTTGTCTTTGACTACGTGTTGGGCTGTCTATTTAAATATTTTTGCCAGAATACTTTGTTATATTTATTTAGTTATTTATTTGAAAGGCAGAGAGACAGAGACAGATAGAGAGATCTTCCATCCACTGGTTCACTCCCCAAACGTCTGCCACAGCTTAGGCTGGGCCAGGTGGAAACCATGAGCCAGGAGCTTCATCCGGGTCTCCCACATGGGTAGCAGGGGCCCAGGCCCTTGGAGGATCCTCCAGTGCTTCTCCCAGGCACATTAGCAGGGAGCTAGATCAGCAGTGGAACAGCAAGGACTTGAACCGGCGCCCAATGGGATGCTCGTGTCGCAGGCGGCAGCTTCTCGGGCTGTGGCACAGTGCCGTCCCTCCTATCTTCCATAGGAAGCAGCTAAGCAATGGTGAAGACTGCTGTTACTGGAAGATGAACAGGCTCCTCCTCAGAGAGGGGTTCTCACATGCATCCCAGAAGTCCCCTGGTGATTTTGGAGGTGAGAAACTACCATACTACCTTATAATGTGGCTGAACCATTTTATAATCCTACTAGCAACGAGTCAGAGTTTGTGCTCCAATCCTCAACAGTACTTGGTATCATTATTATTTTGGATATTTGTCATTTAAGTAAATATGTAGGCCAGCACCGCGGCTCCCTAGGCTAATCCTCCGCCTGGGGCCCTGGCACACCGGGTTCTAGTCCCGGTTGGGGCGCCAGATTCTGTCCCGGTTGCTCCTTTTCCAGTCCAGCTCTGCACTGTGTCCTGGGAGTGCAGTGGAGGATGGCGTAAGTGCTTGGGCCCTGCACCCCATGGGAGACCAGGAGAAGCACCTGGTTCCTAGCTTCGATCAGCGCGATGCGCTGGCCGTAGCGGCCATTGGAGGGTGAACCAATGGCAAAAAGGAAGACCTTTCTCTCTGTCTCTATAATTGTTCACTCTGCCTGTCAAAAAAAAAAAAATATCAAAATGTAGTGATACCTCATTGTTGCTTTCTTTTTCTTTTTCTTTTCCTTTTTTTTTTTTTTTTTTGATAAGCAGAGTTAGATAGTGAGAGAGGGACAGAGAGCAGAGAGAAAGGTCTTCCTTCCATTGGTTCACTCCCCTAATGGCTACTATGGCCAGCGCGCTGCGCTGATCCAAAACCAAGATCCAGGTGCTTCCTCCTGGTCTCCCATGGATGCTGCATCGCGTCGTAGTTGCTCCACTTCTGACCCAGCTCCCTGATAACAGCCTAGGCAGAGCAGTAGATGATGGCCCAACTGTTTTCACCCTGCCACCCACCTGTGAACCTGGATAAAACTCCTGGTTCCCAGATCGGCGTGGCCCCGCCCTGGCTCTTGTGGCCATCAAATGAGTGGGACCAGTGGATGGAAGGTTTCTCTGTCTGTCTGTCTCTCTCTGTAACTCTGAGTTTCAAGTAAAGAATTTCCCCCCTGACCGCCCTTTTTTTTTCTTTTTTTTTTTTTTCTTTTTGACAGGCAGAGTGGACAGTGAGAGAGAGATCCAAAACCAGGAGCCAGTGCTTCCTCCTGGTCTTCCATGGAGTGCAGGGCCCAAGCACTTGGGCCATCCTCCACTGCCTTCCCGGGCCACAGCAGTGAGCTGGACTGGATGAGGAGCAACTGGGACAGAGTCCGACCAATTCCAGGTCAATATGACATCAGTTGCTGGGGAAATCCCTCATCTACCTGGTGGCAGGTTGGTTACAATGGACTACTCTTGTCAAGTAGGACCAACATTCTGTGCTTCCCGGAACAGACGCCCATGCATACTCTGCCTACATTCAGTGCTTCTGCCAACTATCCAGCTTGGACTTACAGGATTGCTGGCCTACCATTGTGGTCTTCCTCTCTCTCTCTGTAACACTGAATTTCAAGCAAATAAAAAGAGATACTGTTTAAAATAGAAAGGATTACTATAATGTAATGAAGAATTTTTCATTATGATAAATACATGTGTGTGCATAACACACAACTATATACTTGATTCTTTATTGCCTCATTGTATAACCTAAGATGTTTGATTCTACGGCTATATTCAAATTATTGCTCATTTCATATTATAATATTTAATTGTGCCATAGTGGAAGAAGAGCCAATGCCATGCAAGGGCTTTTCTCTCTTCTGGGGAATGGCTCATGCATTTTGGTTTTATGCAGGGTAGTTGTACTGTGTTAAGTAGAAGTATGACTGTGTTACTGTCTTTAATGGAGATCAGCGTGTTTTAATCCAGAGGTGAATATGGGTGACAAATTGATAGCGGTAGACTTGTGCCAGTAAATGTTTAAGGGTCAACTTGCCTCAACCAAGGGATCCCCAGATACCAGGTAAAACATTGTTTCTGGAAGGGATAGCATTTGAATCGGTAGACTGAGTGAAGATTGCTCGCACCAGGTGGGTGATTTTGAAATGATGTGCAGTCCATGGGAGAAAGTGTTTATTACAAATGCCCACAATGAAGCGTTTATGACATCACTGCTTTTGACAATGACAGAATCTGAAAATATCATTCACCATGTGTCATAAAAGAAAATGACACTTTTAGTCAAACTAAATCAATCCTGAATGAGAAATATTAAGTGAAATAAAATTGAAAATGCTTTCTGTATTCCTGTCTTTTTTTAAACAGGGGGTTATTTGGGGCCCGTGCTGGGTGCAGCTGGTTAATGTCCTGGCCTGAAGCACCGGCATCCCACATGGGCGCTGGTTTACAACCCAGATGCTACACTTCTGATCCAGCTCTCTGCTGTGGCCTGGGAAAGCAGTAGAAGATGGCCCAAGTCTTTGTGCCCCTGCACCTACATATGAGAGCTGGAAGAAGCTCCTGGCTCCTGGCTTCGGATTGGTGCAGTTCCGGCCGTTGCGGCCAATTGGAGAGGGAACCAGTGGATGCAAGACCTCTCTCTCTCTGCTTCTCCTCTGTGTAACTTGACTTTGAAATAAATAAACAATTATAAAAAGGGAATCATTGCCTGGCACCGCAGCTCACTAGGCTAGTCCTCCTCCTGTGGCGCCGGTACCCCGGATTCTCATCCCGGTTGGGGCTCTGGATTCTGTCCCGGTTGATCCTCTTCCAGTCCAGCTCTCTGCTGTGGCCCGGGAAGGCAGTGGAGGATGGCATGCATGGGAGACTGGGAGGAAGCACCTGGCTCCTGGCTTCAGATCGGTGCAGCACGCCAGCCTTGGCGGCCATTTGGGGGGTGAACCAACAGAAGGAAGACTTTTCTCTCTGTCTCTCTCCCTCACTGACTAACTCTGCCTGTCAGGAAAAACAAGAGGGCTCAGGGGGGAAATTCTTTACTTGAAACTCAGAGTTACAGAGAGAGACAGACAGACAGAGAAACCTTCCATCCACTGGTTCACTCATTTGATGGCCACAAGAGCCAGGGCGGGGCCACGCCGATCTGGGAACCAGGAGTTTTATTCAGGTTCACAGGTGGGTGGCAGGGTGAAAACAGTTGGGCCATCATCTACTGCTCTGCCTAGGCAGTCATCAGGGAGCTGGGTCAGAAGTGGAGCAACTATGATGCGATGCAGCATCCATATAGGATGCTAGGAGCGATGGCTTTACCTACTATGCCAGTGCACAGGCCCTGCTTCCTGAATTTCTTAAAGAGAAGTATTACTGGCTGATCTCAGAGATCATATACCTATAAATCATGTTTATTCTGCATGTTTAACATGTGTAATTATTCATCAAAATTTAAGAATTTGATATCTATATTAGAAAATTTAGGTTGAAAATGAACAAATACAGCTCAACAGGAAAGCATATTTCTAGCAGTGTAAAACCAAGAATAGTGCTAAAAGATACTAAATGTATGCAGATGCTTTTTTTTATCATCATTCAGTTGAATTCCACATTGTACTGGAATCCTAGCTAGAGATATTAGACAAGAGAAAAAATCAAGGGCATCTAAATTAAAGAGGGAGGCCCAATTGTCACTTTTGGCCAATGATACTATCTTACATGTAGAAAACCAGCAAAGACTCCACCAAAAACCCGAGAGAGCAAATACACTCCACAAAGTGTCAGGGTGCAACGTCAACATACAATGCCCAGTAGAAAGCAATCCCATGCTCCATAGCTACACTAGGGAAAAGAGCATAGTTGGCAATACATGTGACTGAAGAAGCAAAAGATCTCTACAATGAAAACTAGGAATCTTAGATGAAAGAAATTAAAGAGTATTTTGCCGTCCTGCCCAGGGTCCTGTAGTTCAGCCTCAAAGATGCCTTTCACGCAGAGCAGGCTTAGTGGTGAGAACTGTCCATGTCCCTCGAGACTTCAAGTTCAAACTTCAAAGTCAATGCTGAAGTAGAAAGAGGTGGGAAGCTAGGACTAGAGCTCAACTCTCTTTCACAGGGTGAGTTGCTTTTTCTCCAAAAAAAAAAAAAGGAAAATTAGCTGTTTATTTCAGAGAGTTACAGAGAGAAGGGGGGAGAATGATAGAATGAGAGAGAGAGAGAGAGAGAGAGAGAGAGAAAGAAAGAGAAAAAAAAAAGAGAATGAGAAAGATATCTTCAAACCGCTGTTTCACTCCCCAAATTGCAACAATGGACACCTCTGGATCAGGCCATGGGAGGAGCCTAGAACTCCATCAAGGTCTCACGCATGGGTGGTAGAGACCCAAATACTTGGACCACCTTCCCCTGCTTCCCCAGGCACAATAGAAGGAGCTGGATTGTAAGTGGAGCACCCAGGCCTCCCATCAGCGCCAAATAGGATGCCCCAAACATACGACCATATGAGTAGCAGGGTTTAATCTGCTGGACCCCAGTGTCAGCCGCAGGCTACCTGTCTGTCTAAAGGGCTTGCCGGGGGGAGGTCTGTGCTTTCACCATCTGAGGACACCCCAGGAAGCCATGATCTTTCCTAAAATTTACTGGGGAGTTTTGGATTTAGGTGTGGTACTTTTTAAGGACTACCACGCCACTCTCCACACGTGTACTTAGCTGCAATCAACCACAGCAAACCACCAGCCTTTCCATCTTACCGTCTCTCTCTGAAGAAGGCACGTCAGCAGCAGAGAGGGAGCTCTTTCTCAACATCAAGTCTGCTGGAGCCCTGACCTTCATCTTCCAGCACCCAGAGCAAACACTGAGGACCACATCTCTGCTCATTTTCAATGACTCAGTTCAAGGCTTTTTGTTCGAGTGGCCCAGGAACCCTGAGACCTCTGGACATGCCTCCATTTCTCCCTGCGATTCTAAGGACAATTTGGAGGCTGTAGCTGACACTTGGTTGGCCTTCCAGACCTGGACCATAGCAACCCAGCTACATGCTGGTCCTCCAGGCTGTCTAACAAGGAATCTAGTGATGGTCTTAGGGGGAAAGGATGATGATGGATCCTTTCCTCTCAGCTCTGTGGATGGGAAGAATGTGCCTGATGGTGTCATGGGCAACAGAACACTTGGTCAAGGATTTCATGATGCCAGAGTGGCTGTCACCTCATTCTGAGACCTATAGCTCTGAGGTTCAAGGCAATGGGACGTGTATCTAGATGGTAGACAATCGGAGGTCTTAAAGACCCCACAGTTGCTATCACTCCTTAAACCAGAGATGAAAAGGCCATAGGTACATCCTACGCTTTTAATGTTCAAAATTAAACATTACTCTGTATCACCAATCTAAGCCAAAAGCTCTTGGGGTCTTTGATTTTGTGTAAGAGGAAGTTTGTTGAGAAAACCTCCGAGGATTAGCTGTGGCTGTGACTGGTCCCCGCCCGTCTCTGACTTCATAAGGACCAACTGTCATGAAATAGAAAGTCGTGCAAGTCCCTGAAGGACTGCCATTGGCCCATTTCTCGCTCTGACTTCATAAGGAGCCCTGTGAGGACAGGATTCCACACGCCTATATAAGCGGCTGCGCGGCCCAGGTTTTTGTCCGCTTTACCAGGGAGCTATTTCGGTGACCTGTGTGACTTGGACCCATCTTTGTGTGCGCTTGAGCTGGTTGGTGTTGGTGTGCTGTTTGGTTTGTTTGTTTGTTTCTTGTTCTACTTGGTTTTTTCTTTCCCCCATTTGGATTTAGTTTGTTGTTTTCCTCCTATTTCTTTTTTGGCCCATTTGTGTCTTTTTTTGCAGTTTTGTTCATTTTTGGGCTTCCTCGCATCTGTAGCTAGACAGCGCGGCTAGATCTCAGAGTGTTAGTGTAGCTATTTAGTGGTTGTTGTTTTGGATTTCTCTGTTTTTGTTTTCTGTTTTGGTGAGATAGGGCTTAGTCTTGCCACTGTGTTTGCTAAGTGTAGTTAGTATAGGTAGTGTGGCGCCCTAGTCAGCTCAGCAGGTAGTCCC